CTTTCTTGAACACCAACCTGAAATGACAGCTCTCTCTCCATCTCTTCTATGCTTCAAAAAGCAGTGAAGTACAGGCATTTTAAAAGTGAAATCAGTGTGATTTCAGTATCTTCTGAAACCAAGAGGAAATTCACTGCATTCAGCTCTCTACAAACTCAGGCAGACACAACTAAAATGGTCTGGATGACAAAGATTTTTTTAGAGCCTCTCTGCAACCAGAAAAAACAGTTGCAGGATTGCGGAGAGTATCTGGAATAGGCAGAAAGTAGCAAAATCCATGGTGGTTTAGAAATCAAGTGGATGTGCTTGAGGAGAGTGGGATTAATTAAGTTTCAACTAAACCAAGTTTGACAGTTAGACATTAACAGGCAGATGTCAGTATGAAAGGCTGAGATTTTAAGTTAGGGAGAAAAATACAGGTCCTGGGGAGAGATGTTGAACTGAAAATGAACTAGAGAGAGAATTCACCAAGATGGTCTTGTGGACAAGATTGGTGGAGAGAAAAATGAGAATGAAGCCAAGAATAAACTTAGAAGGACAGAATAATTCAGGCTGGAAGGTTGCTGGTCCAGTCTTCTGCTCAAAGCAGGGTCAGCGAGAAGGCCAGACCAGGTTGCTCAAGGCTTTATCTAGCTAGGTATTGAAAACCTCTAAGGATGAAGAGTGCACAGTCTCTCTCAGCAATCTTTTCCAATGCTTGACTGATCTCTTAGTGATATATTTTTTTCCTCACCATAGCCTCTCAGAACTTCTCTTGTTTCAACTTATCCCCATTGTCTCTTGTCCTCCTGTTGTTCACCATGGCAAAGAGTGGGCTTGTCATCTTGATAACCTCCTCTCAGGTCTGAGCAGGCTGCTATTAGGTTGCCCCTGAGCCTTTTACCCTTTTGAAGGGAACTTCAAGAGAACGTGAGACGAACAAGAGAGCAAAAACCTACTGAAGGCCTGCAAAGAGAAAAGAAACAGAGCTAGGGAGAGCAGGGAATGAGGAGAGAACTTACTTTGCAATTTAGGGAGGGGATAGCGCCCAGAGCTTTTAGGAAGAGCAGTTTTAGTTAAGCTCACGATGCAAATGGCAGAAACGGCAGTGCCTGAGATAAGACGTGGCGCAAGGAAAAGCAATGCAAAACAATGATGTAAACTATTAGCAAGAGGGGCTGAAAGGAGAGAAGCAGGTAGAGCTTGTGGGAAGCACAGACGGGTGAAAGGACAAAATAATATGAGTAAATACAGCCAGTGAGCTGTACTTCTTGGCAACAATTGGTTTTGGCCGTCTCCAGTATGCCTCTGAATCATTTTCAGCTGTCACAGACCCTCCAGCCCAGTTCAGGTCCCCAGAGGGGCCTTTATCCTCACCAAAGGACCACGGGGCAAAGAAATACCACAAGGACTTCACAGCAAACCAATGGCATTTAAAACCAGTTATCGGGACACACACAGTCCTACAAATTTCTACCACATACATTGGTTACTGACTCATCTGAGACTGAGAAGACTAAAGGGGAGAACTGTATTACTGAATAAAGACTTTTCTAGAGACCTTAAAGAGCCTATAGATTTATAGCAGCTGACAATGATTCAGACAGCCTGAGCAGTCAACCTAGATGCCGTCACTGTGAAGATGAAGTACAATGGAATGAGAAGTTGTGCCAACTAGGCCATTCGTGTCATACTGAGAGACAAGACGAACTTCTCTGACCTTGCCTTCAATAAGAAGCACACACAGCATAACAGACAGTCAATAAATGCAGGAATACCTCTCTCCCCACGTTTCCTCAAAGAAAAAGGTTAAAAACTCACAAATTCTAAATGGCTCACTGTTCTTTCCTGTAATCAGGAATAGCATGAAGCAGCCCTGCCATAAAAATGGAGCCCTGAGACCTGGACAACACGCAGGCACGGGTACTCAGACGATACCCCGTGGGCTGCAGATGAACTCTCAGCAAGGACAGCAGAAGACTTGGTTCCAGGCACATCTGGTAAGTCTTCTCCATACCTCCCCTGCCCTGACTTTTCCAACCACAGCTTGGAATTTGTTCATGAGCTCTGTAAAGCTAAAAGCTAACTCCAAACAGACATGACTGCCTAGTTGACTTTGTTCCCTACTACATAAATCCCATGGACAAATTCCTCCCTGCCTCTCATACCTATCCTGCTCCACCCCTGGTTTCTAATGGACTTCTGCAGGGTCTGCCTCTGCACTCTCACATCTCACAGCAAGTCACAACAGGATATGAGCCAAGACTGGATGGGGAAGGGTGTCCCAAGTATTTCTACCTTGGTCTCCTCCCACAAATTCTCAGGGACCAGTTGCTCCTGAAAGCCTTAAGACTGCAGCAAGTCAAGATTTTATTTAAGCTAAAGGGAATTTTTGAAGAACAGTTCCTTTTCTGTGCATGAAAAATTTAGTTTGGCTAAAACAAAGGGTAAATTTCACAGGATCAAATAGAAAACATATGAATCTTTACTGTTTTGGCTGCTGAGTTTATTGGGAAGACCAGAATATTTCCATTTTGAGGGGAGAAGGACTCCCACTTTTTACTACTCTGACAGCATCATCACAACACATTCATTTGCCAAGCAGCTCTGGTTACTATTATGCACTTACATTCTCTGACCATGTAGGAGTCCCATTCACAGAGTGAGACCCAGTTTAATAACCACAGATAGAACCTTCACAGTATCTAAAGGGTTTCACAGTATCTAGAGGGTTAATACTGTGATGCATCACTGTGGTGCTTCTGCATCTAGAAGAGCTTGATCTATTTTTGAAGACTGAAGGGATTCAATACCACTTCAGCTGTAGGTCTCAAAAACTCAGTGTGCTTAAATAAAATAAAAAAGAGCAGGTTCACAGAATAGCTATGCCCCATTATGAATAAACACAGCTTATCTAAATTTAGAGGTCACTGGAACTATTTAAAATGCCTGTAAGAACAACATGCCACTGTAAAATAGGAACATGAAGCTGTAATGTAACATGCTGCATGCTGAAGAGCATTGATTTTTTTACCCATCCTTAGAGAGCAAGGTGCACCTGAGTGCTATCAATGTAAAAAATATTTACCAGAGACATCTTGCATCTGCCCAGTTTAGCCTTCTACTCCATCCTAGAGCAGGCTGTGTACTATTTAAAGGGAACAGACTGATGTAAGAGAGTGAGATTGTACTTCAAGTTAATCATTACAATCCATACTCTTCCTTTGGGCTTATTTGATTTGTGGAATTACGTCTTTCAAAAAAGGTCACAACACATGACAGTCAATTAAGTCTAACACGTACAAATGCATGTCATCCCATCTACTTTCAGGGACGCAAAAGCTCCACCGCTCCTACAGTTAAATAAGCCTCTTCCTCATTAGCTTTCCCCAGCTAATATCTGAGATGACACATCAGCTTTTGCCTGCCAAGTGACCTGTGCTTCAGTCACAGCAGCCAGGGCACCACATGAGAAACATCCTGCCCATCGAGACCCTTTAGCTTGAGTATTTCAGCAGACCACAGCTGTCTAGGTGGTCTGAGAAGAGACAGTCACTCAGAGAGAACAAGCCAGGCAGAAAACTGCTTTCTGAAGAAATTTATACCTTTTGATATATACGCAAAACTTGCCCTTTGAACAATTTCACTGCAGCTATTTACCAGCAGCCAATTAAACTGTGCAACAGTGATTAAATAAAAAACACTTGTTCTCAACACTGGATATGAGGCATGGACAGCAAATACTAAGACTATTAGAAATACTTGTCAGAACCTCCACATGAAAAGGCAGATCTTCCAACTTCAGATTTTCTAAAGCTAGGATTTTATCCCTCTCATCTTCCGGAGATTTCCACTGGACAGTAACTAATCACTTTAGAAGTGATTCTAAAGTCACTACAAGTGTATGACAAACCCCCTTGGCAAGTGGCAAACTGCAGTGCGACCTGCCTGAGATCTGGTCTCTGACAGGCTTTATCAGCCATTCAGCTGGCAAGTAGCGATTTGGCTGAAATACCACGTCTGAGGAGAAACCACACTGCAAATGCTCAGAAAACTGTACCTTCAAATAAGGGATTGCGCTGATTTGACTCCATTTGTTTAATGTACTGATTTAGTTAATTTATTGGGAAAATTCAGTGCAGATGAGGACCAAACACTCTAATCAAAGGGAACTGTCTCTCTGACAGACTGACACTTTCACCCCTAACAATCTCAGTGAAACATTAACACTAAAAGCCTAAGGATAATTTTATTTTTTTTAATCAAATTCAGTATTAACTCTTTGACTGTGATCACTTTAGTGGCTAGAATGAACAAAGACTAGATTTAAGGAAGAAATTTTTTACCTTGAGGGTGGTGAAACACTGGACCAGGTTGCCCAGAGAGGCGGTTGATGCCCCATCCCTGGAAACATTCAAAGTCAGGTTGGACAGGGCTCTGAGCAACCTGATCTAGTTGAAGATGTCCCTGCCCATGGCAGGGGGGTTGGACTAGATGACCTTTAAAGGTCCCTTCCAATCCAAACCATTCTATGATTCTATTTTATGACAAAGCATCAAGTGCAAAAGCCATAAAACAGGAAAAATGAGAATTGACAGAAGGAAGAAACACAACAGGAAGACTGAAGGAGACAGAAAAAGGAACCTTGGGGAAAAAAGAGGAAAAGAGGAAAGGAATGTGGTAGCTAGACATGTCAGATGTGAACAACAAAAAGACACTTAAGGTATTACAATTACTAGCAACAAACCTACAGTCATTCCCATAAAGATTATGTCTCCATCCAATATTCCCAATCCATGGCAAGCAGAAGGAGACTCCTATTATTTAAAATTAGTTCACAGACCAGAATTGAAAAGCAGTCTAACTTTCCCCTGCCTAGGCTGGTGCCTCACACCATCACCCAGCCACTGCTGCTCAGTTCGTTTCTGGCACGTCGCAGATATCTAACAGACACCAATGGAGCAAAATTAACAACCAAGAAGATCTCAGAGGTCAAGCCAAGAATTCCTTGTTTTGCTCACCCCGCCATCACTTCCAAATGGAGTTGGCCAGAAACTGTCAGGAAGGCAGGCACATCGAAGAAATGGGTCTTTTCTGCAGGTTCCCTTGCCTCATTTGATGTCTGTAAGTCAAAAAACGAGCAAGAAATCAGACTACTAGTGTTTGAATAAAAAGCACAGCTCCTGGCTTGTTTTCCCTTTTTTTCTCTTAAGAAATTCCATGAGATTGAACCCAAACACTGCTGAGATGGAATCCAACAGTGTGGTAAGTTGTAAGACAACACTTCCCATCTTTCCTCAGACTCCTAATGGACTCTAAATCCTATTGAAGCAAAACACATTAAGAAAAAGCTCCAAGACAAAGGATTCTTGGGGACTTTTCTTTCTAGGGGTCCGATGCAAATAATGGGTCTATGTAGTGAAAAGCCATACTTTAAGTGGAAAACACCACAGCTCCCATCTCTACTTTTAGTGACTTTTGAGAATATGGGTTGTAGGTATCACAACAACTTGCAGAACAAGTTTGTGAACTGTGTCACCTACCTCCAGTGTCACCAGCAAAGCTTGGACATGTCAGCACAGTGGAAGGATATGCAGTTCTTTCATACATTTCTCAAACTAAAAGGGATAGTAAATTGGATCCCCAGCAATTAGTTATATCAGGTCAGCTGAGTGGGAAATAACTCATTAAGATGACACAGCTTCATGGAGTTTGACTGTTTGCCCAAAACATTGTGGGCAGCACAGAGTTCATACAAAGCTAAACGAATATGAGGCTCTTCACTTCTCACCTCTTGACTTTGTATGTGGGTATGTCAGGAGCTCTAAATTTTACTCAAATAAAAGAATTGTGTAACTTACATGTTGTAAACATGGATGAGCTGAATTAGGAATGACATTGCAGAAAGGAAGGAGGTAACAAAATGTAAAATAAAATGTCAGAAAGGACATATTCACCATTTTACAAGCAAGTCTGAGAACAAGAATGGTAGAAATGCAGATTTTCTAGAGTAGCCTCTGATTTTTGGCTCACCAGTAAAGTATCACATATACAGCTAAGGGCTCTGTCTACCTAGGAGTTTGGGAGCAGGTGGAAAAACCACATCCCATGTTTCTGGGAAATGCAGACATACAAAATTAAAATCCCTCTGGAACATCTGTTAAAGAACATTTTGCCCAGCAACATACGAAAAAGATGCCAGCCTATTAACCCAGTCTCCAAATGTATGTATTGATTTTCACTCTTTCCTACCAAGATGAACAGTGAGGGGGAAGGGAAGAATCTCTATCATTTGGAAGTTTGACGCTTCAGACAGCATTGCCTTCAAAATTCAGTTAAGTCTGATGACAAAATGGAGGAGTATTTTACATGTCAGGTGCACTGCCTTTTAGCAAAGACTTCTAAAAACCAGTGTTACTTCCTTTTCATGGGCAAATGAATTTGTTTCCATTGCAAAAAGAAAAACAGTAATCAGAAAAAAAAAAAGGAATATAATATCCTCTAAAGACTTGTTATTCAGTCTTCAAAAAAAAGCAGAACCGAAACAATATGGAGTTGGGAAAAAAAAAAAATCACATCTTACATATTATATGGGCACTGAAAAACAAATGATGTTTCATTTCAGCTTTTGCATATTTTTCAGGTCACCAGACATTTTAAGCATAAAAAACTATGAGTAATGGAAAATTTAGCATGTTCAGTGTTTCATTATAAAAATGCTCAAAAAAAAGCCCCATTAAAGTGATGGTATGTTTTTGGTTTTTTAATTTACAGGCACGCACAAAAGAAAAATTAGAAGATCTCTGTGTTGAGCACTTTAAAAGTCACTTGAGCATAAGAACTGTGCTTCACCATTTCCCTGGCAGACACCAAGCTGACCATAAGACAACAAGGAGCCCTCATGGCAAAGAAAATCACCAGCCTGCTGGGCTGTGTTAGGCAGAGCACTGCCAGCAGGTCAAGGGAGGGGATCCCTCCCCTCTGCGTAGCACTGGTTACTCACCAAGATCACTGGGTGAAGTGCTCAGCTTTCCCAGTACAAGAGAGACATGGACACACTGGAGTGAGTCCAGTAAAGGGCCACAAAGATGACTAATGGACTGGAGCATCTTTCATATGTGGAGAGGCTGAGAAAGCTGGGACTGTTCAGCATGGAAAAGAGAAGGCTCAGGGGGGAATCTTATCCTTGTGTATAAATACCTGATGGAAGGGAAGGAAGAAGGAACCAGACTCATCTCAGCTGTGCTCACTGAGAGGACAAGAGGCAGTGGGCACAGATTCACAGATTTTAAAAAAGACACACAAAATTTAATCTGAAAACAAGAATACACTTTTTTTATTTACTGTGAGGGTGCTCAAACACTAGAACAGGTTGCCCAGAGATGCCATGAAGTCTCCATCTGGGGAGATATTAAAAACTCAGCAGTTCAGCTGTCCCTGACTGAGCATGGTGAGATGGATTAGATGATCTCTAGAGGTCACAATTCTGTGACTTTTAAAGAAAACACATGAAGATGAATGAGATTTTTGTTTCAGCATTTTCTATATTTCAATGTCATCCCTAAGCTTTGGAGGAGTCCTAGGTTCAGTAGAAAGACAGAAGAAAACTTCAAAGCTAATCTACATTCACTTCCAAACTAATACTTTCTTCTGAGATAAGTTTGAAATACTCACTTTTCAAAGCGTAGTTCCTAGGAGTTATGCTAAGTGTTGCTAGTTCGGCTAAGTATGCCACTGCCTCCAGTCACCCTACTCCCCAACTTGCTTTGTCACAGGGAAGTTGCTAGGCTCAGGCTTGTTTCCCAGCCTTTGATATTCTACAACCTGCCATTTTTCTCAATGAGTCGGAAGGTGTTGCTTTTGTTCTCAAAAAGCTCTACTGCTCATCGCAAAGATAAAACAGAGACTGCCAAAGACCTCAGATCACAAGGCAGTTTTATCTCTTCACAGCATCACACTAAAGAAAAGAGCAAGCTTGCCTTGCTCCACAGAGATCAAGGAAAATAAGACAATTTGTGGCTGTAACCCCAGGACTGCTTCCTTTGTTTCATAGGTTTTGCAGTTCTAAAAAAACCAAACAACAAAACCCAAGGATGCAGAAGCAGGCTCCTATTGTTTTCTTCAAATAAACCCAGAGTATTTGCTCAAAAACAATAAGGATATTAATAAACATACAAACATCCACATACCACAGCCCCAGAGCCATGGCCAGAACACTAAAGAGATGAACCACATACCACTCTAGTTTCTCCTACTGCAAGCTTAGTTCAGTTACATTCCTTGTTCCATCAGTGAAAAATCCCACCTAATCCTGTAGGATGCAACTTCTAAACAATGAGAAAGAGACAGACTGGAAGCAGGAAAAGAACAGAAGAAATCAGCCATGAAATCTCAATACTTCCCCCCAAATCCACAAACAGGATACAGCTGTCTCCAGGAGCTGGGGCTTCGTTTATTTATAATGACTTTGTGTCATTTTTCATCCTCCAAATCAGATGTAATCTCAGGGAGGCAAAGGGAAAATAGACACAACAGTAAGTGACTGGAGGAAGAGTGTGAGAAAGCCTACAGCTCAACTGGACTTCCAAAAACCTGCAGCCAGTTTGAGAGGCCACTGAGAGATTCTGAGATGCATGTCTGCATTGTGAGCAGCTCCTGCATGGCTTCCAACAGAAGGTGAAGAGCAAACATAGCAATATTTAGATAAACTTTTACTCCCCCATCACCATCCGATCGCCTCACCTCTCCACAGCTGCCCACTTCCTCTCCCTCATTTTGAGACACAAAGCTTGATGAACAGGTGTTGTGAGCTGCAAAAGTCAATCCATTTGCTACATGGGAAAGAGGAAATGCCTCCCTTTTCCTTCAGACGGGACCCCTTCAGCAAGGAGGTATCCCATAATTAGCAACTTTACATTTCACATGTACAAATATCGACTAACCCACTAGAGGTGGTTCCTCCAGTTTACACATTCAAGAACAAGATCAGGCCAATGTTTTCAAGTGCCTATGCCCCCGATTTATGTTCAGCCTCATAGCCGCTGGTAGAAGACAAATAATAAATAGTAGGTGATGCTATCCCTCCACTGCTGACATGGAGTGAGATTGTTTTTCATCTCCATGACTAGCAAAATGAAGCGACAACATTGTGGTGCTTTTATTTCAATTAGATGGACTTTCCTCCCACTTCCCAACCCCCAAATACCTACTTGATAAAAGATTAGAGAGGAATAACATGTTTGCTTTCAAGTTCTCTCCATTCCCTAGTCGAAAACTACACAAATTACAATGGGGAAAGAAGGAGGGGGAACATGTATGAAACATCTTGGTGTCTCGGAGTAAACGTGCTATAAACATACTAGGATTCAACGTCAACATCAAAGGCTTTTTATTCTCATTCTAAATACGAGAACAACTGGATTTAGTACTTGTTTTGTTCTCTATCTCCTCAAATGTCTAATGATTTAATTTAAAATTATTCCCTTTGATGTCAGTCTTATATTAACTTTTACTTGAGGCAATTAGCTTCAGGAGAGTATAAACCGTTTGATTCTGTCTTTCACTCTGTGCAAGCCAAATGCATGAAAGGATCAGAGAAGACTTGAAAAGCTCATAGAAATCACTGCTGTAGCTCTAGCCCAGGCCCACAACACCATGCTGCTGAAGCTTCACAGCACCACGTCTTTAATCCAGACCTGCCCTCTGTGATGTCCCATTATAAACGATTGGGTTTTCCTTTTTAGACAACCACTGCAAAATTTGTAACTTCTGAGAAGTCCTGCTTGCAAATCCAGTCCTAATTCTGATCAGTTGAACTTGCATTGGGCAATAGCAGCTGGTTCTGCTGAGACAAACATCTCATAAATATGGACTGGAATTACATGCAGGAATGAACCAGGTAGAAACGAGCAGAAAAAGGGAGAGCTAGAAAATGCAAGCGCAAGCCCTCCCTCAGCTCAGTTCCAGCTTACCCTGATCCCTGCTAAGCACTTCTCTGAAGTCCCAGTCTCCCAGTGACTGGCCACCTCCCATATTGTGATGTATCTCTAAAGGGGAAAACACCTGACAGACACTAATACTGTTGCATTTAAGTGTGATTCTCCCCAGCAGATCCCAGCCTTCCTTGGTGCTGACAAGGCTATTTTTCAGTAGTACCAAAGGAAGAGTAGGAGTAAGTTTCTGCATCTTCAGCAGCAGGCACATATTTCTGGCACCACAGTAGGCACAACCATGAACTTGTACCCTTCAGGGATCTAGAAACTTTTACGTTCACTCCTGTGAGCAGATGGCAAGAAAAGCCCAAAAACCAAACACTATACAATCTCTGAATACATTTTAGAGAAGAATACCTGGATGGTTCTTCAGGTTTATAGTTAAGTATCCTTTCAAATAATGAAAATAGCCTGATTCAGACCCTGAGTTCAGTCAAACAACACCCAGATGCAATGAGATATGTGTGTGGGAAGAGACAAGCCTGATACAGAGCACACATTACTTCCACTGGAGCCAAAAGGTAGAGTGCAGCACTCCTTACACATAGAGCAAGGTCCCCAGGAAGGAATAAGGCCACAGGCAATACAAAACACATGAGATCTACTTTAAAGAGCTGTGAATGTCAATAGAGCTGTTGTGTTTGCAACTGACTGCATGCTGAGTCCTAAAAGGCTGCAGCTGGGCAGCAGGGAAAGCGGCTGTCCAGGGCTTCATCACACCAGCTGGAGTGTCCCAGGCCAGAAAGACTTTTCCAGAGTGTAGAGGAGCCTCTAACTTCTCCGCAGTAGCTGAGGACAGTCAAACAATGAAACTTTCCAGAGAGCAAAGTGGAAAAGAGAGAGCAAGAGACCCAGAAAGCAGGGAGCCTTCAACACTGCAGACAGAGTGGGAGGCTACTGAAAATAGCAGGGAACAGACATGCAGCCGGGTCACAAAGACAAAAGAAAGGCAGATTTCCTAGGAAGCAGACCCAGAAGGGAACTGGGTAAAGTTTCTTGCAACATACAAAGCTGCTAAGAATTTTAGACTTCAGAAGAAAAAAAAAAAAAGCGAGGAAAGGATCTGCCCTGAAGTGCTAAGACTGCTGGTACAGAGGAATTATTGTCAGATTAAATTAAATAAAAAACGCCACCTCACCCTGCCGATCTGCGTTCCCCCTATTTCAAGAACTACCTCGTCCTACTTTGTGTTCTACTAAAACCCAGCTTTCAATATTCAAAGCTCTTTTGGTGTTTTCAGTAAATTTACTTTAAAGAAGGCAGCACAAGCAAGATTCTTCCCCACTCCAGAGTTCCACCAAAGGCAGACACCATCAAAGGTGCAGAAATCCACAAGTTGGTATTGCTGATGTTCTCCACGTGGATTAGGGTCTGCCTGGCTGTTTTCGCACTTCTGGCAGCTTCTCCTCAAGCTTCTCTTCAAACCTACATTTTTCAGGTGTAGAAGGTCTCAACTGCAAAAGATTTCTCTGGAGTTCTTACCACCTTGTGATTTATTTATTTTTTAAAATCTCCTCTGCTTACCACCCTCTTTTCACTGTTACAGTACTTCATTTTTAAAATATTTAGCTGAACTGATTTGCCCAGCAGAGAGGGAAGAGATTCTCCCCCATCCCAAGTCCTGGTATGAGAACATCCCAGCCAAAGCTATGTACAGACTAATCAGTATACCCAAAACCAAACAAAGATAATGAGGAAGCTGAACACATAAACAAACACAAATCCTACAGGATTAAGAGGTCTAAGAATCAAAGATCATATGCCTTCAAAAAGCCTTTTCCTTCTAACTCAAGACACTTTTTCCCCCATCTCTTCAAGTCTCATGTAAAAACAGATTCCTACTCTCTTCACTTTCCACCATTTCCAAAGAACACACAGGCCTGAGCAGCCATCAGACATTAGTCAGAGTATTAAAATTGTGTCAGTCAGAAGACAGCTATTAAAAGGCAACGGTTCACAGTAGGTGCAAAAGCAGCCTCTAAATTGGGTCCTAAAGGCTACTCAACCAAAGTTTTTAACTTATTCCACTAACAGAGGGACAGCTAACTGGTGAGATTATCAGTTTTATACACCACCCAAGGGAGCTAAAAAAAAACAAAAAAAGGCAGAAAAAACAACCTGTAAGCTGCAGGTGTATTGTAACTACTACAAATCCAGGAGCAATAGGCCACCAATTTATGTTCTGGTTGCAACTGGAGGATAGGTCTTAAAACTTTAAGTACAGGATTTAAACATTTTTTAAATTGAAGAATCTAATATGCAGGTTGCTTTCACTGATTCTCATCATCATAATACTTGGCTACTGCTCAAATATAAGAGGAACAGGAATTTATTTTCTCCCTTGGCCTGTCCAAGCAGTGAATTAAGGGCTAGTTTAAAAAGTGACTGAATACAGCAGTCGGGGAATGTCTTGGTGGTTCATTTGATTAAATGCATGTAGAGATTTTAGGCTTTGCTGCAAATACCACACCCTTATGTCTGACACCCTTCCTGTCACCCTTATTTTTATGTCTGACAGCCTCACATGCATGGCCCAATGTGGGTTTAATTTCACCCAGATTTCCACTGTCAAGAAACAGTGTCACTGCTCCAGTGGAATGAAGTGGTCACAGTAGGATAGCAAGTGGTCTTAGATCCCTGCTAGCCAATACCAATTCCAAACAGAGCTTTGCAGAAACAAAATGCAGCCCTAAATTAGGCCAGACAATGAACTGGTACTTGACGAAGAAAGAGGAAATCAGGGAGAACTTCCCACTTCCCAGCAGCAAGTGGGTTTCTGAAGCCCTTTCTTTGTGGCACAGGCCATTTAATGGGATCTGACTCAGCACTTACTCCACACCTTTCAAGCACAGCTGTCACTACATTTCTCCAAGACAGGTATTATTATTTATACCTAAGCAATCACACTGCAGAGAGAGCAAGAGATTTGCCTTGAACTATGCATTTAGTTAAGATTCAGTTTATACAAGTTTCAGACTCACAATTTAACACCTCAATCAACATTTGCATCAGTGCTTCTGTTACTACCAGCCACCTACGCTGTAGTCCTGCATCCTCTACAGCTTTCAAGTGGATACAATTTGTACCAAAGACGTAATACACTGTACAGCTGCAAACTGTATAATGTTCTCATCATTAAGTGTCACTTGTTTTCACATCTTAATTTGCATGCAACAGCCTGGAACGAACCTTTGGTAGCATTAAGGGATCTCAATTAAACAGGAACAATTTAGTTTAGCTAATCAACTCTATTGTCCCAGCAAGCAAAAAGCTGAGCCACATGTACTGGTCTGGAAGGGAATCACTAGTAGCACAGGTTAGACCCTGAGATCCTGAAGAACCAGTACACAGAGGCTTTTTGTCATGAGACTGTGCAGAGAGTGGAAGACGTGATCCTGCAGCAAGCAACTGCTACCTCAACAATTATTCTTTTGCTTACAGATGATTCACCAGCAAGGCTGGAGCCAATAAGCGTAAGTGGCAATGGATGTAATTGTTTGAGAGAAGAGTTAATTTCATATACACAAGTACAAAAGGCAGATGGAATTTCTTATGATTCATGGATGTGGTGGTTAGGAATCATGAGAAATCTGTGGGGAAGATCTTAGTGGTTATAGCTGTATTTAAGTCACAGGAGGTTTTGGCCCAAAATGTGAAGTACTTAATATAATGATAGATTGTGACAGTAATTTGGTGGATGGGTGGGGAGACTTGGCAATGTTGGGGGAGAATTCCAACATACAACAGGAGTAGCTTATAAGGAACAACATATATACAGGTGAAAAGGAGTTATCTCATGGTAAATTATATTCTTAATTTCAAAGCTAAGAAATATTTGCATGTAGTAGGCTGTCCTGAATGTCCCACCCCATCTCTTAGGCACTTATGATCACATCTTTCTGTTTACTAAGATGTTCCACTTCCCTTTGTTGTTCTTTGTAAACTTTTCCACAGCATCGGGGATAGAAAAACCTCATCAGTACAAAAGGTGCTGATTAATGCACAAAACAGCAATAAAAGTAAGGCACCTGTTTAACACTAAATTATTAGCTGAAGCAAAGGACTGCTATATTAAAAAAATAATCATAGAAGTACATAAAGGAAAGGTTTTGTAAAGATAAACATTTCCTCTAACCTTCAATGACTCCAGAATTGCTCTGCAAGCAAAAATCAAAAACTTTATGCAACCAACTTACCTCAATTTGAAAGAGTTCCCCAGCACCTTCACAGTCATTTGATGTAATTATGGGGGTATGAATATGCACGTAGCCATTATCCTGGAACAGACAGAACACTAAAGTTAACTAGCTAAAGATATCAAACATCGGCTTCAAGGATAACATCAACCAGTACATATCATAACTCACCTATTAGCCCCCAACCAGGACAGCATATTTACTTTTAAACAACTTCTACCCTGCACGGACAAAGACAGAGGACTAACTAAACGCTAGCATGATTTACAAATCAATGTTTACTACTTGTGCTCTTCTTCCATATTTCATAAAGATACTATGGGTTTTTGCAACTGCCCATCTCCACACCATTGCCCTTTCTTCTCACCTCCTCTGGTATTTTTATATTTCTGGGCATTTTCACCCCTACAGCCTCAACACTTCAGCTTATTCCAGCTTTTGGAGGATGGTGGTTAGGCAGAGGACACTCTCTTAGTGTTCTCCACTAAGAGAAATGATCAAGTGTGTTAGATCACAGAAATCACACACTGCCTGGGAGAGAGGACTTAAAAACACCCAACCACCATGAAAATGTCAGTCCCACCTTGCATCTTCCGAGATATTGACGTCAAACTGATTTTAAGAGACAGGGTATACCCTGGATTGGTCATATTCTAGGTACCTGGAGAATTACCCATTCCTGTAATAGTTCATAGACCCAGCAGAGGCCTCCGAAACCAGGAAGGCTGTATAAAAAAAGAGCCCCTATTCTCCGGGTTTCTCTACAGTGCAGCCACTTTTAAGCCAGCTGCAACCCAGTTTTCAGTGGGTGGGTACATCAAGCAGACCTCAGACAACCACATACAGCATGTTAGAGGCAAAACCAGGAACAGAACTCTACTAACTGTCACCTTCCTAACTTAGTCTCACTACAGAGATCATACCTGTGCATGCCAAGGCAAACAAGAATCTGGTACTAGCTGATTTCAGCTGTGAACAAAGGATTTGTTTTCTCTTGCATCACTAATGTCTAGCACAAAGGGAACCCCTTTAAAATCAGGGTGTGCCTGCATTACCATGATACATGCAATGATGTAGCATAACCCATTGTCTATTTACACATAACACTAATAAAAAAAAGATTAAAAAGCAAATGTTTCTAAAAGCTTAGTTTCACAGCTTTTACCAAAATAATACAAATCAACCATTCACACAACAGGTCCTGGTCCTTATCACCAGCTAGTTAAAAGGCTAGGAAGACAGGAGCAGTATTTACTGCCCATACTGAGAAACAAAATAAAATTAATTTTGACCAAAGAGTTCGTACAGACATCCAATGCATTTTGTGGAAGTACCATAACACGACCCAGAGGAACCAAAGTCCCTGCAGTCAGCTCTAGGCTACCTTGGTTACAGGTGCAAAGACCTCAGCTTGCCAAGTGCCTGGCAGGAGCTTCTTACTGAGACCCAGTTACTACACAGAAGTTTTGGAGCCAGAACTACTTGCTTTGCCTGGGGAGCGTAGTTTCAGCCTACCAATACAAAATGCAGGTTTCTGCCACAATCCCATGCATAGTCCACAGACCGGCTGGTCATGTGGCCTCCCAACCCTACATGAGATTTTGGAAAATTGCCTAAATTCCTCATACTGTGGTAACAATTGCTGTAAAGAAGCACATTTCACACAGAAGACCCCTTACATGCTTTGGAAAGGAATGAACTGCACAGGTCTGAAAGATGAGAATCCCATAAAAAGCTCTTGGATAGTTCCCCTTATAAAAGCTCCTAAAAGACTGCAAGTCACATTACTGTCTCTGACAAACCTGGTAGTTAGTTAATGTGCAAAGTGGAGGTTGCTGTTCACACTGCAACTATTTTATTGTGCCTAGGAACAATGTTCCTATCCCATATGGACCACGACACTCAGGAGATGATTTAAAGGTAACATTTTAGCCTTCAACATCCAAACCAAACCCAGAAGTCATTTGGCATTAGTCATTTACTGCTGGAAATGAATAGGCTAAAAAAACAAGAAAAGTTTGTAAAGTTACAGAGAGCTTAGATAATTTCAAGCATGTATTAAAAAACCCCCACTTATTTTCTTTCACCATTAAGCTCTTTACAGCTTTGCAGAGTGAAAACACTCCAATTACACTTTCTAGTTAATCTATGTTCTGGCATTGTCAAGTCAGAAATTCCAACATTCTTGGGATCATGTAGGTGGTAATTTAAAAAGATTGCTTTCCTTCCATGAGGAATGGAGCAAACCACAGATGTTCCTGGTGCTAGGAGAGTCATGACATAAGCATTTGCAGATATCAGGTCTGGGACCAAATCTCCCTTATCCCTCTAAAAATAACTTGAGTTTAGCTGCCGCTGCTAAATTAACAATACTTTATATTTTTTAATACTGCTCAGCTCTTGAGCATTTTAAACAGGAAGGTATGTCAGAGTCTGAGCTGGAGTTAATTTGGAGAAGTAAAGCCTTTGGGGCCGTGTTTGAAATCACAAATTGTTGTAGGCAATGCCATCTAGCGGCTCAACGCCAGAAAAGACTGATTCCCAACAGTTGGGTTCTGTCTTACGAGCCGGCACAACGCTGACATCAGCAGCTTTAACTGACAAAGCATTTCTATTAGGCTCTTTTAAAAAAAAAAAAAAAAAAAATCTTTTAAATACCGTGTATTCCATACGCATAACTCTAGGTTATAGGAGATAACTCCTAGAGCAAGCAAGCCTTTATTGCCACTGCAGGTGACAAGTACCAGCATACCTGGGACCAGAAAATCAATGTCAACAACTCTGACCTGTTCTTTGGGCCATGCTAATTACTACACATGAATTTTGTAATCAGAATGCTCTAAATATGATTCTACTCAAACTAAAGCCAGTTTATCTAAATATGTTTATTTCAATGAATGGCTTTAAAAGAAAGGGCTCAGGTGCGCTAGAGGACTTGCTACCTTTATCTACTCATGCAAAGAATCACACGGACTCTATACAGCATCTGTAATTAGAGTTAATTCACTGCCCCCACCGCCTGCACAAAGCCTGTACCATGCCCACAGCTTAAGAGTGACACATTCATAAAATACAGGTGCTTCCCACCCATCAGTTTGAAATGCATCGAAACAGGAGTCTCCTAATCTCAGCTAACAGCATCCACCCAGACTTGTAACACAGTAATAGAAAGGTAAGAACTGAGAATAATAACGTGAAGCTCTAAGCCAGTTCATCAGTAGCCTTCCTGCACCACAGATTTTTCATTGTGGGAGGAGGCTTCCGTCCAAGGACCATAAGGTCACTGCTGAGGATGGGTTAAACAACTCCATATTATTTTGTGTTCCACAGACCACACACACTCGCAGGCAATTATATTGCAACTTAGTGAAAGGGATAAAATAACTAACAGGAAATGGGTGGAAAGACGCTAACAAGACCACAGATGTGCTAACTTGATCATAAGCAACAGTCTGGCCAAGGCCTCAGACAGGCCCAGGCCTGGAAAAAAAAGCCCACTGTGTCCAAAATCCATGCCCTGCAGCCGAGACATCAACATCCCTCCCTCCCTCCTAACATGCTCCTGTGAAGCCAAACTGGGGGAACATTTTACACATAAGGCTCGGTACAGAAGGGACTACCTGGAAGAATGAGTGGATGGCTGCAGTGGCTTCACTGCGGATTCTCAAGAGGGAGCCGAGTGTATTGTTTCTGCATCGCAGGTGAGGGAACTGTCGGACATACTCCAGTGGGTGCCTCTCCTTCGTTTTCAGAGGGAATGCCTAAAATCAAGGAAAGAAAAAAAGAAAAATAAGAGGATGAGAACTTGGAGTCAATGTAGTTTTATCGCTATTCATGGAACACCATCCCTGCCTACTAAAACTCAATCATCATTACAGAGCAGAGAACTAGATGCTTTTGCGTATCTTTTCTAGTCATTTTGTGGATTTTATAATGCTTACAGCAGAGCAAGAGCCATGAACACAAGAGAAGGTAGTAGCACTCTGAAATGCTCCACCTTTTTGATGTTGAGCCATCCTGAAAGCCAGCTGTTCATCTCACTGCTTCAACAGCAAGCTGGTTCCAAACGTGCCTGTGGCAGATACGGTTCTTCCACCGGCACAACGTGGAGCGTTTTGCCAGTCCCATTGCTTCTCCAATTTGTATCCCAGCCAGACTTACCAGGTGAACCACCTGGCACAGGTAAGTGCTTCAAGGTGGGACAGTTTCCATGTAGAAACAGCTCTGTCCCAGAGGACAGCTTTCATGGTGATCCCATGTTTCTCCTTTGATGTACCCTATAGACACTGTTGACAAATCAAAGCCTGCAGGACCACTCAGACTTAAAGAAAATACAGTTTGAAGCATGCTTTGCTGGATACTTGGACCTTTTGAAATTAATTTCCAAAGCTGTCCTATCAGTTGGACTCCTGCTGCAGTGACATACCAAAGTATCACAAGGTCCCACCACACGGATGGTTTCAGCTTTCAGCTCCACGTTTTGCATCCTATGAGGACTTTTGACCAGTTTCCCTCGCACTTCTACTGCGCTTCCAAAAGTCAGATCTCTAAGAAACCAAGAAAAAACAGCAGCTTAACTAGGCACTGATACAAAGTCAATTACATTCAGAAGACAGATTCCTGTTAATTTAGCTGGACCACTTGAGATCACAAGAGATACTGTAGCCATAGGGCTTAATTGATGAAATGAAAAATTATTAAACACATAGGTGGGAATGTGAATAGATTCACAAGGCTACAGAAGAATTTAGGACAAGACAGGACTGTTGGACAAGTGAGGGGAAAAGAGACAGCCTTTTATTAGAAGGGGCTCTTGGTGAGGACAAACCAGGCTTACAGAAAAAAAAAAATAATTAAAAAAAATTTTTAGAAATCAAGTTACATGCAGAAGGTTCCCAGATCATCCCAGAACTCCCAACCCTAGCCCAAAGAACAACCGAGAGTAACAAACAAAATGAAGCTGTAAAACAAGTGCATTATTTTATTATAACAGAACAGGCATGCCTATCTAGGGGGTATGCCTACTAAGCCAGCACTGAAGTTGTTATAGGAAGAGCAACAGCACTCTCCAAAACCTGGGGACAGTTATCCCCAGCTACGTTGTGCGATTTCCAAGCAAGTCCAACAGTAGTCCAGAATGCCCATACTGCTAACAGCTATTAAGAAAATTAAGTCCAAATTAATCTCACAGGACAAGCAACTGAACCACAAGGCCTCAGCTAGCGGAGACAGAGTAGTCAGACAGTCTCCATTCTAAAAACACATCCGGAGACCCCAAACTGCAGTAGTGCCTTTCCTGTGGCCAGGTGCCAGCTGCTGGTGAGTCACTGGCACAGGAAAGGAGGCCTAAGCAGACCCCTCCAAGCACTGGTCAACACGGGTATTTCTCCAGGCATCTCAAACTGACCAACCTATTTTCCAGGCTGGGATCAGCAACCACCTGGAGGTTTTCCAGAGAACTTCCATCGTTTATATGCAGGAACAAAACTTCCTTCTGGGATCGGACAGAGCGGACCCAGCCCTAGGGGTTAAAGAAAAAGAAATTTGTTATTTCTTGGCATTTACTCTGTGTAGTCATGCTCTTCTTACAGCTGAGCTGGACATGCTACTTCAGGCCTATTTCAACTTCTTATTGAAATCAAAGGAAATATTTCTTTAGGGGCCACAAAAATAAAAAATAATTAAAAAAAAGAGTCAGTGTCAGGTTTTCTACTGACTTCAAAGCAAAGAGAAACAAATCCTTAGGCAGAGACGTCAACTCTCCTCCTGAGTACAGCAGGGATAACTAAGATCTACCTGCATCTCTGGGGAGCTGAGAACACAGAAAATAGCAAAGTGCTCTGAAGATGAAAAGCATTTTAGCAAAGTACATATTCTTATTAGCGTTGTCCCTTCAAAACGCTTCTTACTGAAACAGGAGAGACCTGTAATGCATAGTTCTTTATGATAACACACTCAAGACTGTTTTGATGATTCTTATTACCAATTTTTGTTGCTGTATCACCTGTAGGAAGGTTCCAACTGAAATTTGTTCACTAGTTGTTTACATGCCCTAAGCCATTGGACTGCTAAAACAATGATGCTGCAGCCAATTCAGATTCAAGTGAAAAATTACATATTCATGCAAAACAAAAATAAAAGTTAATGCCATGGGTATTTCTCCTTACACCTCAAAATCAAGACTAGTACACTGTCCCCATGGGGAAAAAAATATTAAGAAAAAAATCTAGCAGTGTTCTTGTCCAGTTTGACTAAAAGAATTAAAACAGTAACACAGTGGTTCTTTGTAACAGCAGAACAGACCATAAATATGTCAGGCTAATGTCTTAATTCGAGCTTTTCAATGAGAAATAACATTTCCTTTAAAAAGAAATTAAAATTTAAGTCAGTACCAAGGCACCAAGCAAATGTAATAGCATCCAAAATACAACTCCCTTACTTGCTCCCCAGCTCACAAGAGTCAAAGCTGCCCTTGAAAGCAAAACTATCCACTGGGGAGCTTCCAGTTCACCTTATAGTAATACTGTAGATAACAACTGAAAACAGTGCCAATTAAACAACCAAACTGCCTCTTTTCCAAACAGTTTTGTCTTTTGCTTAACTCGAAGTGCCCAAGCAGTTGTAATGGCTTCAGACTGCACAAGTGCATTAGGGATTTTATACCAGACAAACCAATGCGAATCCATCTACTTCTGTTGTGTAGACTGAACAAATTCAAGAATTAAACAGTACCAAAAGTAAAGCATTCTTAAAACTACAACATGACTACTAATACAGACAAGGCATTAGACAGGCTGCATAAAACAAAGAGGACAACTGCATACAAGAGCTATGGAAGATTTTAAAGCCATGAGCCTAACCATTAAAGAAACTTTGCCTTTTGCTCCAGCCTCACAATTTCAGACAGGCCTTTCAATGCAAGAACTAAGCACTCCTTAACAAAACACACAAAACCCCTGAACAAAGAAACATTCTCAAGAGCTTTCTTTTCTACCTCATCAGGCTGTTTTGGGATCTGTTAAATAAGGAGATGAGTTTTGCATCCCGCAACAGGAAATAAGAGCATACCCACAGACATGTATTGGAGCAGCAGAGGCTGTGGCAGCAGTGTTTTGACTTCACACCTTACCAGAAGCAACATGTAGCGAGTGCCAATCCTGACTCAGACCAGACTGCACATTCCAATAACCTGGCCATAAGGCTGGTTTTAAGCCAGTCCAGTTCCCCAACACAGTTTAATACAAAAAACGTTTTTGCTAGCACAGGGGAAGAGCAACAATGCAGCAAGGATCTGGGGCAAAAAAAATGCAGTATTGCCAATTTTAGCATCAGTTTATTCCAGGTTGCATTATTCAAAAAACTACAGCTGAAAAGCACCTATACTGGATGAGCTTATTCCTACCCTATTAGGCTTCATCTATATGTGTGCAGGAATATCTGTGTGCTAAAAACTGGGGTTTGGGTCAGTAAAATCATAGGAAAATTTGGGTTGGAAGAGACCTTCAAAGATCGTCTAGTCCAAGCCCCCTGCCGTGGGCATGGACATCTTTCACTAGACCAGGTTGTTCAAAGCCCCATCCAACCTGGCCTTGAACACTGCCAGGGATGGGGCATCCACAACCTCTCTGGGCAACCTGTGCCAGTGCCTCACCACCCTCACAGTAAAGAATTTCTTCCTTATAAATCTATATCTACCGTCTTTCAGTTTAGTTTAAGACTGTTACCAAGCACCCTAGTCCTTTACACATTCATCCAGAAATACTGACAACTACACAGTTCTAGCCAAGGGCCTTGCACTAAAACAGGGACTATGCATCTGCAACCACCACTCTGTCAGCTGGGAACACCAGAAAACAGGGGGACACGCAACCCTGTGCTAAGGAAAGGGAAAGAGCACCATTGCTAAAAAGTCCATTTATCTCGGTCTGCCTTGGTTCACAACAGGAGCTGGACACGAACATCAATGAAACTGTTATTGTTGGCTCCACCTGACGCTGCTATAAACCTAGATGTTGAACAAGACCTAGAGCAAAGCTTTAAAAACATCAGCACAGAGGCAGTGGTTCACTCTCCCAAACCAAATGGGCCACAAAACCAAAACCGTAAAGAGCATGTTTCAGTACAACCCATCACAGTAACAGCCTTCCCCTGCACGTGCCAAGTATCTTCAAACTGAACGGCAAACTGAACAAATACAGCCAGAGCTGGCTCCAGAGACTGTAAAGGAGACCCGTCCCTTTAGTAAAACGTGCTGCAGAGATTTTAGCTTTTCTCCCTGAAGCACAGCAGTGAAACCGGCGCGGTCCACGCCACTCCGGCTCCTGTCCCTTCCGTTAAGGCTCTGGGTGGGCTCCTTCCCAGGCACACCCCGACCTCCCGGCCACACACCTGCACTTTAACCTCGCCAGCCGGTTCCCGGGCCCCCAGCGCCTCCCGGACCCGCAGCCGCACCTCCCGCTGCGCCCGAGGCAAGGAGACGCAGCGGCGGAGGGCCTGCCATCCCCGCCGTGGCCCCAGCATTGGCGGAGGCCTAACGGGCCTGCTCCCTTCAGCGGCCGGGCCTCATCCCGCTCCGCTCCCGGCCCGCTCTCCACACGACTCCCGTGAGGCGACGCGACTCCCGCCGCCTCACGTGACCGCCTCATCCAATGGCCGCCCGGAGGGGCTGCCCCAGCGAGCCAATCGGAACGGAAAAGCGCCCAGGCCCCTCCCTCCCCGAAGGGCAGCCTTTTCCGGCCGCCCTGGGCGCGGGGGCCGCTGGGAAATGTAGTTCGCGGCGTGAGGTGTGGAGGGAGGCGATGGCCGGGGTGGGTTTATGGCGCCAAGCAGGCACTGATCCTGAAAAGCCGGTCGAAGAAGCTCTCTAAGACTCGTTGTGGAGTTTTAGAAAGCAGGCGTTCTTTGTTGCAGCGCTGGATGCACGGGGGATAATTCCACCTAGCGTGCATGCCACAGCTTTAACACTAACAGGTTATATAGAATAACTAATTGCATATTAATCAGATTAGTGTACATATACATAAAAATGATCGCAACTGATTATCTTAGTACTGCCTTCATCCGATCATGCGCAATGAAGGATCCCTTTGAGTCGAAGGGCTGCTTTTGCGACCACCAACCCACTGAAGTTCTTGCTGGCTGTCCTTGAAGTCTTTATTCTTGTCCTTGGTCTTTGATCTTGAAGCTTAACACAGTTTCAATCACATGTGGTCAGTCTCAACATTGTTCTCATCTAGCGTCCAGGAACATCTAGTCATAAGAGCAAAGAACTGCAAAACTTACGTATAATTACTAGTTAATCACTTGACTAGACTTGGTAATTATCTCCCCGGTTACCCTTTGCCCATTGTTTCAACCATAGTGTTAATATATATATATATATCATTTATCAAATCTCACTTGCACAGTCACCTAGCAGCAAACCAGTTTTCACAGAAGGTACAAAATATTAAAACCATAAACGTTTGAACAAACCACATGAAATGTATGGACATATGCTATCAGCACGGGGGGGACGGGATCTCCGTGGCGGGGGGGGGGGGGGGGAACGGGGCC